GCTTTCTTTTTTTTAAACAGTTGACTTTACAAAATGGTATGAAAAAAATGTTATATACGAATTCAAAAAAATCTTTTTTTAATATTTTTATCATTTTAGATATTTACTTGGAATTCTTTACCCGAATCTTTAAAATCAATACTTCCGCAATATTATACATATTTAATTAAAAACTTCAATGAATTTTCATTATTCCGGACTGTAGAAAACTTTGAAATACCACAATTTGAGTTGCATGGATTTGTAGATTTTGATAATAAAGAAAAGGCACATGAATGGTTTTTAGCATTTGAATCGCATTCGAAAACAACAATGCCTCAAACAAAAGGTTATACAATCAAGGGGAAAAAAGTACTTTTTCGGGAAAAACGTCACTGTATTCATAGTAATGAAGTGAAAAAAAAACAAGGCAATCGTGAAACAAAACATCCACATTCATCTCGGGCACGAAATATAAATTGCAATGCAAGCATTCATCTTAGATTAGAAAAATGGCGTCTTGATCTTAGTCATCCTTTGGAAATTAATATTAAATTTATACACAATCATATAATTGATTCTGCAGAATCATTGAGCTTTCGGCATGTTAAAGAAGAAGTGCGTAACAAATTTCTGGAATTATTTAAAGATGGTCACTCTCCTATTTCAGCATTATATTCTCATGAAGATAATCTTTATCTTTTGGCCACAAATGATCAAGAATTATTAGAATTACTTGCAGATAGAGCAAATAATCCAGATTATAATTATATCTATAAACTTTTTCAGCAATATCGTGAAACAACATTTGGAAATTATAATGGTAAAGGAATGTTTGATCATTTAACAGAAATGATAGATAATTATAATAATTCGGGTAATGGTAAAGCTATATTACAAAAATATGATACATATACTGGAGAAGCATTTATTCTTTGTATTGTAACTGGATTAATGTGCCGAGTACATGAAAAAATACCACAAACAGGCGAATTATGTTATATGGATGCATCAGCTTCATTTGAACCTCTCAATACATCAATTACTCTTTTATATACAAGTTGTATGATTGGAGCTCTTCCTCTCGGATTATTTATAACTTCCGATGAATGTGAAATTACATTGGAAAAAGCGGTAATTTTTTATATTAAAATTTAATTTAAATTAAAATATTTATTAATTATTAATTTTAAATTTAAATTAGTTGAATTTATTAAAAACAATTCTTCCATCATATGCATTTTATGGA